TTCAATGTGGGATCATTTTGTTTTTTTTACAAACCTTTAGAACAACCAAATCAAGCCCAGTTTTTTGTGCATGTTTAGATAAATTATCTAGGAAAAGTCACAGAGTTTCATGACCCTGAGATGAATAACACTTTAAAAAAATTAAGGGAAAGTCCAGTGGGTATTATATCTTTTAGAAGAAAGTGAGCTGATGTGGTGATGGCTTTAAATAAATAATCTCAGAAGGACATACACTGATGAACACCTGATAAGCAGAATCACTGAAGGACAGAGAAACAAGAACTAAAATATAGCTGCGAGCAGCGATGGCGGGCCCAAGCCGGTGGCACCGCAACCCCGGTTCCTTTAGTTACCTAAAGGCACCCGGGTGGCGGTGCCGAAGGCTTTGGCCCTTTCATGATTAAATGTTAAAACGGCTTGCCATACTCTGTCATTTCGACTAGTCAAAATTATGTTACAGATATCTTAAATGATAATACAAACTATCCAAAATGTAATTACGAATAGACAGAAAGACGTTGTTGATATCTACAATGTTAATTCCGGATAGGCAAACTTAGCTTTTAAATGTTAAAAGGGCTTGCCATACAGGGATGTAGGCTCAGAGAGAGGCTCACCATATTCAAACCAAAATATCTGACTTCCTCTTGGTCCGAGCTAATGACTATGTAATAGAAAGTTGTCCGGCTTGAGGAGTAAAATGTATATACCGATTTTTGTAACTGTAGATAAAACTAACAACCCCACTTTTGTCAAAAGGTGGCGCTATTTAGTCCTTGCACCATGCCCGTTTCTGAAACTTTGCACGTCTACTGGCTAATAAATGTGATGTATCTGTTGAGTTTCAAGCAATTTCAATTTCAATTTGACTGTTGAAAAGAAGTGCGCCGATTAGATACTCAGGATCGGTATCGGCTCTGACACTGCCATCTTTGACGAGGCTGATTCAAATTCTATATTGTGCATATACTATTCTATGTAAGGCACAAAGGCACAAAAACTTTCTAAAGTACCATAAAGTTTTTGTGTACTGTATTATAAGTGTTCTGAAGCTATTATGTGATATAGAAATTAATATTTAAGTCATTAAATTCAAGAACACGTAAACTTTTCCCTCTCTGCGCCTGTCAGTCATTCTCCATTCAGCATTCAAACAGCACGTCGCATTCGGTTACAGTCAATGATGAAACGATCTTCAAGATGATTCAATGTTAATCCTATTATACTGGGTCTTTAAGATAAAGGTCTAAAGGTCTATATTTTCGAATGAAGAAACTTTTTCTTGCTGGACTTTATTGCTGTAACTTAATCGTGTTACTTTCTACCGGGTGTCAGACGCTGTCGGTTAGATCACAACACTAGAGTCAGAGCACTATAATTGTTCTTCACGCACACAGTAACTGAAATTTAAAACCTTTAAAAGAAAAGGCTCAATAAACTATTGCATAGATATATAATGTATAATACACTGTTCATAAATATGTATTTCCTTTGTGCTTTGAACTTTTCAATACGGACTCAATGCGCTGTAACTTCATGTGGCTTCAAGCACATCATTCTCCGCTCGGGATGCACATAAGTGCTTTGTGCTGCACCGTATTAGAGCCGTAATATCATAATGCAGTGACGTAATGACAGATTATTAATTGCCTTTCAATTATATGTTGCTGCGTCATTAAACATCTGTCCTATGCATTTCAAACATTTATAGCTGCCATGGCTATATCTTTTTATGATTTTTGTTATCTTGTTTTTCATGAATGTATTTTTTAAAAATAAGAGCAATGTGTATTATCTATTATTAATATAGTTTATAATAGCATTTTTGTCATAGATTATGACAAAGTAATCATATGATCCACCAGCGAGGAACCAGCAGAACAGAGTGAACATTCTTTCTGTTTAGTTCAATCCTACTTAATAGGAATTTATTTAAAATGCTCGCTCTACTCCACACCATTAATGTCTTGTGCGGACATCCGTATTTTGACTTTCGGTTTTAAGTAAGCGATTTAAAAGCTCCCAAGTCCCAGCGGAGTCACACGTTGATTAACCGGTGGGAATATACACAATAGGCTTACCTGATATTGAACACAAGAGGGCAGTATAGCACTACGTATGACTCAGATTATTATTTTTTTCTGAATTTTACAACAATTCTGGCTGTTTTTGAACGTAAACATAATTCTTAAATGAAAAAAGGGAAAAATTGGGGAAGTTATAATATTTGTATAATTTAATTTAGAAACAAATGATGTATAATTACATTTTTAGAAGATATGAGGCTTTTAGTGTTTACTTTTTTCACATTACTTTAATCTTTTGCCATAGTTGCACATGTCTACTGGCTAATAAATGTGATGTATCTGTTGAGTTTCAAGCAATTTCAAGCATGCTAAGAGTCCCAAAAGCATCAAAAAAGAATGTTAAAGTTTGTTTCGTTGCCACGGCAACAGTATCAAAGATATCAAAAATTCATTCACAGGTCTACATCTGCCGTGTATTTACATTATACAGATGAAGTTTGAAGCAAATCGGTTAAAAATAAGAGAGTGATTTCAAAGCATTTTGAAAGTGACACACTTCCTGCTGCCAGTTGGTGGCGCTATAACTTTGACTCACAATAGTCACATCCATGTGATCGGTCTCTTACAGCGAAAACACTGCTGAAGTTTCATCAAGATCAGTTAATGTATGCTGAAGTTATAACACACATCCTGTTTCATGTTTCTCGCCATGATTTCGTTTCCTCGCCACGGCCAAACCGTTCGAGGTATCAAAAATCCTGTGGCACTTTTTCATCCTTAATGTCTTGACTTCACGCTGATCGAGTTTCGTCGAATTTGGTTCAGTGCTCTAGGAGCAATAATTTAAATTCCATTGCATGTGTTTTAAACACAACCCTAAATAGCCGACTTCCTGTTGGGCTGGGGTAAAAAGTAAGAGTGTGAAGTATATATGAAACGATGAGATCTATATGTGTACCAAGTTTCATATTATTACATGCAAGTGTGTTTGATTTATGGACCAAATTTTCAGACCAAGTTTATTGACCAAGTTAATCTGATTAATAAACTAATTATATAAAACTATTGTCAATTCACTACAATTAAACTAGTTATATGCCTTTACTTATAAAAAATAAAAATAAAAACTTATTTAAAAAATACCAGGCTTGAGAAATGTATTTTCTTTATGCAGGTCATACACACAGCAGTGAAATGGTTAAGCCCCCTCCCCCTGCACACACACACACACACACACACAGACAGCCAGCCAGCCAGTCAGTCAGTCAGCCAGCCAGCCAAAGACACAGAGACACAGACACATGTAGGCTCAGAGTGGCCATATTCAAACAAAAATATCTGACTTTCTGTGGGTCCTAGCTAATAAGTGTCAATTAGAAAGTTGTCCGGCTCGAGGAGTACAATATACATACCAATTTTTGTAACTCTAGTTAAAACTAACAACCCCACTTTTGTCAAAAGGTGGCGCTACTGAGCCCTCACCACGCCCGTTTCTGAAACTTTGCACATGTCTACTGGCTAATAAATGTGATGTGTCTGTCGAGTTTCATGCATTTTGAAGCATGCTAAGGGTCTCAAAAGCATCCAAAAAGCATCCTAAAAGAAGGGTAAAGTTTGATGCGTCGCCACGGCAACAGTTTCAAAGATATTAAGAATCCATTCACAGGTCTACATCTGCCGTATGTTTACATTATACATATGAAGTTTGAAGCAAATCGGGTAAAAATAAAAGGGTGATATCAAAGCATTTTGAAAGTGACACACTTCCTGCTGCCAGTTGGTGGCGCTATAACTTTGACTCACAATAGTCACATCCATGTGATCGTCCTCTTACAGCGAACACACTGCTGAAGTTTCATCAAGATCAGTTAATGTATGCTGAAGTTATAACACACTTCCTGTTTCACGTTTCTCGCCATGATTTCGTTTCCTCGCCACGGACAAACCGTTCGAGATATAAAAAATCCCCTCGCAAACTTTCATCCTCAATGTCTTGACTTCACGCTGACAGAGTTTCGTCGAATTTGGATCAAAGCTCTAGGAGGAGTATATGACATTCCATTGCGAGCGTTTTACAAACAAACCTCAATAGCCGACTTCCTGTTGGGCTGGGGTAAAAAGTAAGAGCGCGAGGTATAGATGAAACGATGAGATCAACATGTGTACCGAGTTTCATATTATTACATACAAGCGTGTTTGAGTTATGGACCAAGTGTTCGGACCCCGTTCCAGGGGGCGCTGACGAGCCGCCCTACCACGCCCGGGTACCAGCTTCAGCCCGGCTCTGATGGCCGCGGGTTCTGACCCGTGTGCAAAGTTTCAAGAGTTTTCGAGCACGTTAAGGGCCCCAAAAGTGCCCAAAAGGTAGTAAAATAATAATTATTATAATAATAATAATAGTAAAGAAAAATAATCCCAAGGAAAACAATAGGGCCTTCGCCCTTTCAGGGCTTGGGCCCTAAAAAAGAGAAATACAAGAACTACAACTGACGTCCAGCAACACTGCGTGTGAAAACAGTTTACAAACCAGTGTAACATTATTTATTTCATACATGTACAAAAGTAGTTAATAATAAAGTTTGTTATCACCATGATGGAGATCAGTATTTGCTTTAGTTGGTCTCTTGACCATTGACTTCATGACTTAAGTTTCTCTCTGGTTGCAGTAGTAGTGAGTTTAATAAACACTGCACAGCTGATCAGGTCTTTAGATGTTGTGAGGATGTCATCGCCATCCTGAACATGTACGATTCTCTGATCTCATCCCGTGTATAAGCTTTGAATTTATAGGTGTTTAATATTTATTCATTTTGTGTGCAGAACAGAACAGATCTGGCGTAAATCAGAACAGCAGAAGTTCACAGTCTTGTGATGTAAGTATGTATATTTTCTCTTTTCTGAACAAACATAACTCTAAAATAAGCAGAATTTTGACCATTAAGGTTTTGTTGGTTTGTTTGTTTTTGTTTTCAGAAGCTTAGACTATTTTAGCCAGACCTAAAGAGAAAATCTTTGGTTCAAGCCCTTGAAGAAGCGACAAAACCGGATTGAGTCAAGCCTGATTTGTTCCTTAGTCACTGTGTTGCAACAAAATGTTAAAAATCTTTAAGAGATGTGCAGGGCAACCTGAATCTTCTGTAAATGATGAAGCCACTCTTGTGGAAGGGGAAACAAACCCCCCAGATGACACTTCACATATAGTTATGGGTTTGTTAAAATATTTTAAAGGGTTTCAGTGCTTGCTTGATACAAAAGAAGAGATTGAAATTAAATGTGCCATTGAAAAGAACCTTAAATTCTGGAAAATTGAAAAAATCAAACAAGCTTGGGACAAAGCCAACAAAATAACTGTTCCATCTGATAAAAAACACTGGTCTTATGTGATAATGCTGCAGATGATGGCTCATTTGCAAAATAAGTGTGCAGGACAAGCTGCGCAGAATTCTCGAACTGGTGAATCGCACTCATCTGAACACAATCAAATAGAAAGTATAGGTGCAGAATCAGGAGCTCAGCATTCAACTTTTAATGAAACTAATGAAGTGTCTGAAAATCCTTCAAAAGAGAAGCTTCAAAAAGACGATGGAACAGGGGAAATACGTTCAGAGGAATCGAATTCTGGAACCGTCTACATAAAGATCCCACTCTCTGATCTGTCTGACGGTGAATTGAAACAAGCAGCTCATGTTGACTCTAACTATAAATTTATTGAGGGATATCCTTCAAATAGGCCTAATACTGAAATAAGGAGGAAAACACATTATGTCATGTCATACAACAAAGACACCAATAATGCTGAATGGGTGTATGAGATACTGAACGAGAGTACTTTAACTGGAAATAGCATAGGCCTAAGCTTAAAACCATTCATGCAGATTGATCAACAAGGTCATCAACAAGATCTTCAACAAGGTCATCAACAAGATCTTCAACAAGGTCATCAACAAGATCTTCAACAAGGTCATCAACAAGATCTTCAACAAGGTCATCAACAAGATCTTCAACAAGGTCATCAACAAGATCTTCAACAAGGTCATCAACAAGGTCATCTTGCTGCCGCTGCCAATCACAGCTGGTGCCAGGAAGCCTACAATAGCACGTTTTGTTTCAGCAACATTTCACCACAGTTAAAGATATTAAACATGGGTCTCTGGAAGACCCTGGAGGAAATGTGTCGAGAAAGAACAAAGACAAAAAACAATGTCCACGTGTACACTGGAGCAGTGTGGACTGTACTAACAGAGGATGGTTCAAAGAGTCAGAGGGAAAGAAATCAGACCAAAGAAAGACACAGCCTTCAACAAAAGAAATCAAAAAATGCACCAAAAAAGATATCAATAAATGCATCAAAAAAGATATCAAAAACTAAATCAAAAAAGATATCAATAAATGCACCAAGAAAGGCATCATTTAATGCATCAAAAAAGATAACAAAAAAATATATAAAAATGCCTCAAAAAAAAAATAAAAAAAGTGATGGTAGTTCAAAGACTGTGAAAAAAGTGCCAACTCAGTTCTTTAAGGTGATAATTGTTGAAAAGGATGATGGGACAGTAGAAAAGCCAGAATGCTATCTGCTTCCCAATGATTTAGCAAAACTTGTCGACTTCAAGGACCACAATAAAATTTACAACAGACAGATTCTGTCCGATCGTTGCAGGGTACAACGTGAACGTATTGAGGAATTATCTGGGCTGAAGTTCACAGCAGAAACATGCAGAAATGGAGAGACTGACAGTATAAAGACAGTGAAATGGGAGGGAGAAGGTAAAAATGGAGAGTTAACTACAGCTGCGATAAATGTCAGAATAAGCACACCAAATACTTAATGACAATACTGCCCTACAAAGCAAAAAGGCAGTAACTGCAGTTTTATCTTAAATGCGTGTCGTTTTAGAGAAAAGTGGTAGTCGTTTGTACAGTAACTGCAAAAAGCCCTAGCAAGTCATTTTTCTCAGTTCTGCACTCTGCGTAGTTACTGCCTTTTTGCTTTGTAGGGCAGAATATTGATGTCTATATCTGACATGTGTTCAGTAAATACGGCCCAAATATCAGTCACTGGGGCGACATTCTACTTCCTGTTTCTCAACACTACCACAGTGACATCACAGTGGTCTCACAGTCGACAGCTTTACTTATATGACAATAAATCTCTGAAGATCTCAGCAGAGGATTAAACAACTCCACAAACAGAACCAGCTTACCAGCTTCACTTATTACTAACCAGACTGACTTTATTTCTGTTATAATATCTGTTGGACAATATTTTCTCCCCAGGTGATTTCATCTAAGACTGTGTCTAAAGTCAGTTGTAGTTGTTCTGCTCGTCTCTTTTTCCATTCTCTTCTTTCCTTCAGCGATTGTTTGTTAACAGGCTTTATTAAGGCTGATATGACTTCATATTTAATATACACAGATTTTGTGGCTCCAGTTCTGGATTATTTCTTTACTCTTGGCTTTTCAGTCAGGAGACAGAAATCAGCCCTAATCAACTGTCAATCAGTTCATGGCTGGAAATGGCAGGACTTCTACTTTTTCTCTACTTCTACTTTATACACCCTACAGATGCACCATTCAATATTTTGTAGACAAACATACTGTATAATTATGCAATGTTTTATAATTATGCAGTTATGCAAGTGTTAGCCAAAGGGTGGCTATGAAGAACCTTTTTGATTTGTTTTTAATTTTTTTAGTTACTACATAATTATTCAAATTGTTGTATCAGTCTGATGACTGTTATTCGAAAGACATAATAATACTGTGTAGATGTTAAAAAATATTTTATGCGAGTAAACAGCTTTTAATGAGTTTAAAGTGTTTTGATGAGCAGTTGGATATTTGTTCATATTTTTGTTCATTTTGTTCTTTACTCGACATCTGTTTGCACTGATTCTGTAATTGTTTTGCAAGTCAGTGACACACTTTCTTCTTTACTGTGACAAACAGACGAATTACAATAAATGTTCTCTGTAATGTATTGATATGTCAATGTTACATAATAAATTACATATGTTGAATATTATTATATTACCTTATTTTAATAATTGCTGGCATTTTATTCAAATCTTTATTTGTTAATGTTTGTTATGGTTTTACTGCGCGTTTCTTTTTCTTGTCATTATTTGTTTTGTGTGATAAAGCTTTGGCAATATTGTATGTAAACACAACCACGCCAATAAATACTTTAAACTGGATTTAATTGAAATTTTACTTGATTGAAAATGCATGTCTTTTCACCCAGTGAGTAAAAAACCAAAGGCAATTTTGAAAAACCTGATCTAAATATTGTTTGTTTGTTTTTCTGGGAAAAATAAAACCGGATACAGTGATGTAAATATGAATTATATGCATTTTCATAAAATAATAATAATAAAAAAAACTTTCATAAAAAAAGACTTCAGGGCTCTCTTTGCCTATTATCTTCCAAGATAGACAGAAAGCACCCAGATCGGGAAAAGGTCATTTTATTATTGAATAACTGCAGAACAGGAAAAGCTGAACAGGAAGAACGACATGGAATTTCCTGCAATATTTGACAGCTCTAAAATTAATTTTTAGACCATAGTGAATCAAGATCAGGCAAGAAGAATTTGAGGACTTTTTTTTTTTTTTACTCAGTTGAATTTTGTTAATTTAAAGCAAAAAATCAGATGTGGCGCAGCTTTCAAATGGAAAGAAAAATGTGGTTTATTGCCAGAGAATCAAGCATGACCATTATGTTTAAATGTTAAATAAACAATCAATCACTTGTATTTTTTGTTGTAAATTAGCATTTATCTTGATTCAGTCTGAATGAGAAGAGTTTTACTCCTAAATATTAAATTTTTTGTAACTGTATACACAGGGGCGTAGCCAGGACATTATTTCTGGGGGGGCCAGCCTGTGCCAGTCTTTTATTTGGGGTGGCACTTGATTGTCAAAAACTACTATTACTAAAACTCACACGTGGCTCGTCAGGCCATAAACAATGGATTGAACTCCCTTATGACACTAATAATGTCTAATTGATAAATGTGCGAGTGCAATGCGTCATCATTATGGGAGGGGTTAGGGACCTTAACATGAGACAGGGATGTTTTAGTGCAAATGACAGAAAGACACAATATGAATTGTCATATTAGGCGATAATTTCTTTAGGTAAACCATTGCATTTTAAGTGCAACATCCAATTTATTTGTGATAATACAACAAGTTACAACGGTTGCACAAATCATGACTAGATCATGTAGTAACACTTGAGTCATTACTAGTTAGTTCCAATGATCTTCACTTTATAATACGGATCTAAATAATTAGTAATTCCCACAGAAGTATCTAGTAACACTTTCATCTGTGAGCTATTACTTACTAATTCGTTAATAAGAGTTTATTTTAGTTAATAGTAGTTAGATTGTTAATAAACTTTTTCAGTAGTTCTCTGGGAAGTATTAAAAAATAGAAGTTATTGATTACTTAATAGTGAACTACCACTTCCGTCTGTGCGCTATTACTTACTAGTTTGTTAATCAGAGTTATAGTTACTAGATTGTTAATATTGTGTTACTCATTGGTTCTTGTGTAGTTATTCATTAACGAAGGAACCATATTCTAAAGTGTTACCCTGAAATGTTCTGTTCGCTTTGTGTCTGCTGTAACAATTACACTCTTAGAAGAAAAGGTTCAATATAGAACCTTAAAAGGTTCTAAAGCCTTACGTATTTGGAACCCTTAAAATGCAATGCATGTGAATGATCACAAAATTCAATATGGTGGTTAAAAAATTTAATTAATCAATACCAGACGAAGAGTGCCATTTCACTTTTTATCCTCCAAAAATCTGCATGATTAAAATGTGATATTAAGTTACTACAACAGTTTAATAAACAATAATTTAATAACAACTACAAATGTTGCAGAATAATGTAATAGGCTATATGAATGAATAACAGCCTTTAAAAAACATTTGAGCCAAAAGGGTTCTTTCTTGTCAGTTTTGAACCTTAAAATGTCCTTCGGAGTTGATTAAAGAACCCTATGCTACATTATAGGGGCCGTTTACACCTGGACACTTCATGCGTTTTCGATCGTGAAAAGACCAGGTGTAAATGCCCCCCGAAACGCATTCGAGACGGATTTGAATCCAAACGCTCAAACCACTTCAGGAGGTGGTCTGGGCCGCATTCCAGACGAAACTGGACAAGTGTAATGCATCTGGTTCTTGAAACCACATATGTAAATGTTAATACTCCCAAAAATGGTAAAAAAAGAAACGCGTGAGAGCGTGTTACAGGCTATTTTAGTCAGATATGACGACGCTACTGCGACGCGCATCACCTCAGATGAGCGGCTGAACGCAAGCCAACGCGCCGCAATCGCTAATCAAAGTGAAAGTAAGTCGCAGACGATTAACACTAACATCTTCATTAAAAGTAAAGAAACGAAATGATCTTACCAGTTCTGTTGCCGCTCTCTCTTTTCACCGTCTTTGCTGATTTTGAATATAGCCGATGATCAATAAAATCCAACTCATAGGCCTATCTGTTGCTTTCGGTGACGTGCACTTCATTAAATCCGCATATAACGCGGGAATTGAAGATCGGATTTATATCCATTTTGCAAAAACACATTTATGTGACCAGGTGTAAATGGAATCGTTTTGATAAATCAGATAGCTATCCGATCTGAGAAAACGCATGAAGTGGCCAGGTGTAAACAGCCCAAGCGCTGTCAGAATGCAGGCACGTTATGTCTCGCACTGTTGATGGGGGCGAGACCCAACATGTTGCTAATATGGGGCTTATGGCGTAAGTGACAAATCAATGACTTGATTAAAAAATGCATACATTTCAGCTTCCTTTTTAGACCGTTACTGGAGTTTTTATTTTTATTTTTTATTATTATTAAATTTATTTTCCCGTGAGGTTGGGAGGGGGGGCCGGCAGGGGGGCCGAGCCTTGACCAATGGTGGCCGTGGCCCCCCCTGGCCACCATGTAGCTCCGCCCCTGTGTATACAGTATTTTTGACAGTTCCTCCTCAGTAATAACATAGCTTGTGTGTCTGTCCTCCTCAACAACCTCTACTTGTTCTGATGTATGTGAGAGATTCAGTGCAATGCAGATTTACTGACATCTAATGGTGAAATTGTGCAACTGATTCAAAACATGAAGGATCTCGAGGACTTTACATCGCATGACCAGGCATAGCAATGACCATACCTCGATAAAATTCTCACAACTCAACTAAGTGAACTGAACATGTCGCCTCCCAGTCCCCATACTATACTATATGGTGGTTATAGCTTGATAGTCCCAGTGGGGCTGTGGCGAACAGTTAGTCTTGATCTATACTAGTGGTTCTCAACGGGGGCATTCAGAGAACAATGGGGGGCGTTGGAAGCAAGATTTTTGAAAGGCCTGGAAGGAATATATATATATATATATATATATATATATATATATATTATACTGAATATACTAGGCAGAAATGTACATTTAAAAAGCACTAGTACATATTCAGTTCAGGATATCTTTGGTCTAAAAAGTACCTAGCAACTAAAAAAATAAGTAGGCTTACTAGTTCTCATTTTTCTTAACACATTTAATTAAATAATAGAAACTATTGGAATAAGAAGTAGTATCTAATGAGTAAGTAGGCTATTAATATCTTTAAAAAGGCACTAGTAAAGAATAAATACTAAGCACTAGTAGCATGAAAATAGATACTAGTTTTAAGGATGAAATGTTAATGGTTAATAACGGCTTTAAAAATGCTGGGTTGGTTCAACACAAATTTGGGTCACATATGGACAAACCTAGCAATTGGGATATTTTGTTTTAACCCAACAGTTGGGTTTGTCCATATTTGACCAAAATTTGGGTTGAAACAACCCAGCATTTTGGGAGTATAATGATAATGATGAGATCCTCACACAACATTTATGCCTTAACCCTTTTAGTTATTCTTTGTGGGTGTGTAATTTAAGGTATATTGCATTAACTACATTCTGATACGGACATATAAAACCAGATTCTGTAAATATAAAATCGTCCACATAGGTTTAATATTACTTTTATTGATTTGTAATTCAGCAATTGTTACTGACAGACAACTGACAGCGAGTCATGAACAGATTAAAGCACACAAACCAACATCGAACCAAAATCAACATGTTATAACATATAGCTGAAATAAAAG